ATTTGAGCTGCTTTTCTAAATGTTCAGGGACAATGCCTCTGAGCTTGTATTAGTTTCTTATTGCTGCTATTACACATTACTAGACACTTGTGACTTACAACAATGAAAATTTATTGTCCTACAATTCTGGAGGTCAGAAGCCTGAAATTAGTCTTATAAGGCTAAGATGAAAGTGTGGACTTTACTGTGCTCTTCTGGAGGCTCTAGAGGAGATTTTTATTTCCTCACCTCTAGTTTCTATAGGCTGCATGCATTCCTTGACTTATCACTTCTTTCTTATTTCATTCTGACTATTACTTCTCCTTCTCTGACTGTGACTTTCTTACTTCCCTCTTATAAGGACCCATTTTATTAGATTGGGCCCACCCGTATAATCTAGGATAAGTTCTCCATTTCAAGGAACTTAACTAACATATTTGCACAGTCTCTTTTGCCACATGACATATAACATGTTCACAGGTCTAGGAATTAGGGTGTGGGCACCTTGCCGGACATTTATTCTGTTCATTTTAGATCCCTTCTAATCGTTAAGGCTGCCCCTGGAAGTCACCTCCTCAGAGAGGTCTTCTGGGACCACCTTGGATGCCATCTTTCCTGGGGATTCTTGACAGCATTACTCTATTTTATTAAATCTGAGAATAGTGTATTTTACCTTCTAATTTATTTTTATTTAATTGTTCACTTTCTATATCCCTCTACTAGAAGGTAAGCTTCTGCTCTAATGAGCAGAAACATGGCCAATCTTCTTCACCACCTTTCCCCCCAAAATCTAAATAGTTTCCAGAAATTGGTACACTTTCAGAAGTTTGTGAATGAACCCATCTGTGTACAGTCTGAAGAAGCCTGCCTTACTGAAAACTATATTAACATGCCCCTGTTCCTTTTTCTTTCAATAATGCAAGGTTTGGGCTGGAGATATAGTTCAGTTGGTAATTAATGCAAGATTTTTTGTTTTTGTTTTGTTTTGTTGTTTACTGATGGCAGTTAAGCTAGCTGTCAGTAGATTTTCTTTTGAACTTAAATATATGGGTCTGTCCTTGGGACATGATTGAGGCCAATAAAATAAAATACCAGTTGTAAGATGGAGCTGGAGGAAAAATAAAATAAAAAAAATAAAAAAGAGTTCACTTGAAGTAAAGTGGATGGAACTGGAGGACATTATGTTAAGTGAAATAAACCACAAACAGAAAAAAAAATTTTTTTTTTGCATATTCTGTCTCATATATGCAACCTAAAAATGTTAATTTTAAAGTAGGAGAGAGTAGAATAGTACTTACTAGAGGTTGGAAAGAAGAAGGGGATAATGAATAGAGAAATGGATAATAGGTACCACAATAGGTAGGAGCAATAGATTCTAGTGTCCTACTATACAGTAGTCCCACTTTACAATGATAACCTAGTATATATTTTATTAAGAACTAGAAGAGAGGAACTCAAAGGCTCCCGACATAAAGAAGTGGTAAGGAACTAGAGATATAATTACCCTAATTTGATTGGTTCACATTTTGTAAATATTTTGAAATAACACACTAAAACTCATGAACTTGTATAATTATCACATGTTGATTAAAAACAGAAGTTGCCTGTGATCTCAAGACTTGAGAGGCTGAAGTAGAAAGATTGCAAGTTTGAGTCCAACCCTGGCAACTTAGCAAGACCTTGTCCTAAAATAAAAAATAAAAAGTTGTGGGCTATAGCTCAGTGGTAAAGCACCCCTGGGTTCAATAACCAGTACCAAAAAGATAAAAATTAAAATAATAAAAAATAAAAAGAAGAAAGAGAACTAGACAGAATTAGTAAATACCTTGCCAAAACAGAATGTAATATTACCTTGATCTGAGCTCTAATTATGATGCCCTGGTAAGTAGCTTGGGCTTTCTGCCCTCTTCACCACAGATTTACAATGCTCGCATTTGTAATTCAAAGGAGACTGAGATAAGAGCTATAATAGTCATACAAGAAGAATAAAGGAGGAAGAGATTCATTTTAATTGAGACATCACTTCTGGTAAGCATAGCTTTCCTCAGGCTGTTCCCAAAACATGATCCAAAGAGCTTTTAGGCAGAAGGAACAACATCCATTGACATGGCATTAAGAACAACCCTGATGGAAAGATGGTATTTTAGTATGCAGGTAATTTATAGCTGTGCCCGTATTCATTGATGCATCCAGGTGATATATAGAACAATTCTTAAGTACCTAATGCTGGTCAGTAATGAAGCTGTGATGTGACCCTGACCTGAAGTGAGGAGGAGGAGGAGGAGGGAAAGAGGTTGGAAAGACTTCATAGAAGAGAGGTATTTTTTAAAAATAAGTTTTAGGGGCTGGGGTTGTGGCTTAGTGGTAGAGTACTTGCCTAGCACGTGCGAGGCCCTGGGTTTGATCCTCAGCACCACATAAAAATAAATAAATAAAATAAAGATATTGTGTCCATCTACAGCTAAAATATAAATAAATAAATAAATAAAATTTTTAATAAAATAAGTTTTAGTTGTGATGGACACAATACCTTTATTTTATTTATTTATTTTTTATGTAGTGCTAAGGATCAAACCCATTGCCTCACACTTGCTAGGCAAGTGCTCTACCACTGAACTCCAGCCCCAGCCCATGGAAGAGAAGTATTATAGACTGAATTGTGTCCCTTCAAAATTCATGTGTTGAAGTTGTAACCCCCAATATGATTGTATTTGAACATAGGGCCTTTAAAAGGAGATGATTATGGTTAAATGAGATCATAAAATTGGGGTCCCTAGTTCGATAGGATTGATGCCTTCATAAGAAGAGGAAGTGACATCAGATATATATGTCCAATAGAAAAGGCGATGTGAGTACACAGTGAGAAGAGAAACCAAATCTGTCAACACCTTAATCTTGGACTTCCAACCTCCACAGCTGTGAAAAAGGAAATTTTTGTAGTGTAAGCCATCTAGCCTAGAGTATTTTGTTATGGTAGCTACAGCAGATATTAGAAGGAGGAACTTGACCTAGGTCCTAAAATGGGTAGGGCCAATTCTGGGAAACTGCCTTGTTGAAGGGTTTGGTTCAGAAAAGTCCTCAGTAAAAAAGTTAGAGGCAGAAGTCTGGTAGCTATTACCTTCTTGGTTTATATGTTCCTAATGCCTGCTGCATTTCAATCCTTTGATTTTCTTGTAATTAAAATATTTCTAACTAAAAAAAAAGTGAACAAAAGCCATTGAAAAAATTGGAATAAGCAGAGCTTTTGACCTACAGAAGAGAGAACTCAGTGTAGATGGGGTATAAGGGGGTGCTTGGGAGCTTCTGGGCCATTATGCCTGGAGTGAGTTGGGAAGGTAATTATGGAGGATTTTGAAATTAGGGGAGAAGAGTTTTGTATTAAGAAAAACCTGGTGTTGGTTAGGAAGAGTGAGGGAAGAGTGAGGAGTTAAGGTTAATGGCAAATGAGAGAAGGCTCTTCATCTTTGGGGTTTTATGAGAATGGGAATATGTTAGGAACTGAGGTATAACATTCTTCCACCCCAGTCTCTTCCAAAAGCTTGAAACAGAAGAATTATCCTTTCTTTACAAAAAATCTTCATCATTGTTAAGTAAGCTCTCTCTGCTCACCTAATCCCATAGTTTACTGCAAAGGAAAACCTAGGGGTGGTTGAGGTTCTCTTTTTGCCCCACTGAATTCTAGGATGTGTCTTCCATGATGTGCTAGTTCTCAGGAGCAGCCCCACCATCAGCCTCACATACTATATACATACAGTTGTTATTGATAGTTTTTCTTTCTAAAATAATATTTGTATGTTTTTCTCCTTGTAAGAGTTATACATGTTTATTTCAGAAAGTTGGATGCTATAGAGACACATAAAAATTCAGTAGTTCATAGTCCTACGGTTTAGATATAGCTTCTATTAGTATTTGGGGAGTCAAACAGAATAGACAGTTTTGGCAGGGTGCAGTGGTCCCTATAATCCTAGCTGCTTGGAAGATTGAGGCAGAATGATTGCAAGTTTAAGGCCTGGACAACTTGATGAGGCCCTTTCTCAAATAAAAAGGGTTTGAGTTGTTTCTCAGTGGTAGAGAATTTGCTATCATGTCTGAGGCCCTGGATTTGATCCAGAGTATGCGGGCAGGGGAGGGAAGATAGTTTTCCTTACTCATATACATATTTCCCTGAATACGTATTCAGTGAATACACATGATAATTCAATATATTATTATTATGTTATTGATGACATTATATATTTTTAGAGTGCCCATGTGATTCTCTGTGGGAGTTTGTAAGATGGCATAGAAAACTGATTATTTTTATCCAAGAAAATTTTGATGAGTGATATTTGCATTAGATGTGCAGAGGTTCAGATTTTTTCTTAGGAAGATGTGGAAACCTCTATGCAATTAGGTTTGGTAAGTTTGAGCTGAAGTATTACTTTTATTTTATTTTATTTAAAAAAAAATTATATATTTGTTGTAAATGGACCTTTATTTTATTTATATGTGGTGCTGAGACTCAAACCCAGGGCCTCAGACATGCTAGGCAAGTGCTCTACCACTGAGCCACAACCCCAGCCCCAGAAGTGTTATTTTTAAAGTATGCATTCGAGATATGATAAAAAGTTTGTAGAGGTTGTATCTTTGTCCGTAGATCATATTCACTATATTACTTCACTCTTGAATTGAGCATGTTTTCATTTTTGAATGTAAAGGCTTAATTTTAGAGCAGCTAGTCATTCAATATAGAATAAGATTAATGAAGTAAAGCCTTCTTAGAAAGGGAATGTTTAACCACTTGAGACAAAGTAGAAAAGTAGGGCACTTGGCTTCCTTGATTGGGTGGTAGTTCACTTCATATTGGTGAGTACTTGGCTTCTAAGAAGGTGCAAATTTTGCTTTAGTATGCTTTCCTTTACTCTCCATGTTGAACTGGCTCTCTCATTGTGATATTGTAAACCTTTTTGAACAATCATAAGCAATACTACTCATCTGATTGCTGTGGCTAATAAGCGCCTTTTATCTTTTTGATATTGCAGTTGACTCATGTTGACCAGGCAAGCTTCCAGGTTGATGCCTTCGGGACGTCATTCATTCTTGATGTCACGTTAAACCAGTAAGTGTTTGTTGAGCTGCCTCTCTTTTGTGAGACACACATTGAATCTAATTTCCTAACCTTCTGTGAAATTTTTCTTACTACATTTTAGTTATCTATACCAATTTAGTACTGCATTTAAAACTGTTTTATCTATTGACGAGAAAGTAGAAAATCTGGTAAATAATAAGAAATAGATATGCATTTGAAATGGCATAGCTGTAACAGATTTAAGAATGTACAATGGAGGCAAGAGTTATTTCAATATTATATGAGAATATATATGAGTTTCCTATGAATGACAGATATTAAAATAATACTTTGGGCATTAAAATGTCTTTCTGAATAACAGCAGAAGAGATAAAAGTATACTTTTTGACTAATGATTCAGAGAATCAGCTGTATGATATGTGATGCTAAATAATGCCTAGTGTCTATTTGATGCTTTGATACAGGGGCATGTTTTGTTGAGGCGTAGAGTAGTAGAAATATTCTGTATTTACAGTATGATTTTAGAAATAGTCAGTTGTTTACCTAGAATTTTAGACTGGAAGATGACTTTTTACCCCCTTTTAGTGAGGATTGAAACCAGGGACTTGTACACGTTAAGCAAGTGCTCTAGCACTGAGCTCCATCCTCAGACTTGGAGGAGGCTTTTGATAGATCACTAGATTTAATCTTTTTCACTAATTTTAAAAAATGTACTCAATTTCCTATCAAAAGCAAATGGGGAGAGACCAGAGTTCTTCCAGGCCTGAGTTTCTGGGCAGCGATGAATCACAGATTTACTAAAAGCATCTATACCACAGCTCAGGAAGACAGTTTTGAGGTCAGAAGATCAGACAGGTAGACCAAGAGTGAGAATTGGAACCTAAGCAGTCTAGAGTGGGGAACCAGCTATACTGAAGACTGTCAGTTTAATTTTTAAAATGATGTAAGAAGCATAGCTTGAACTTCTCTGAATAAATACCAGCTACTTGTGACCGTTTAAATTTAAATTAATCAATTTAAATAAAATTAGCTGTGTACAATGGCACAAGCCTGTTGTCCTAGCTACTCAGAAGACCAAGGCAGGGGGAGGATTTGCTTGAGCCCAGAAGTCTGATGGATAACCTTGCAAGAACCTGTCTTAATTAAAAAAAAAAAAAAAAGTAAAAATTCTGTTCTTCATTTGTCATAGTTCAAATGTTCAAAAGTTATGTATGGCTAGTGGCTACCTTACTAGACAAGATTTGAAAAGCTGGGTTCCTAAGGTGTTCCATTTCAGTGACTCTATCCCATATCTCCTTTGTATTCATTATTATTAAATAGTCCCTTGTTTTCTGGTTCCTGACCCAAAGGAACTCTTTTGACTTTTTGTACTCAAATGAGTGATATTTATTCATGTCCATTGTGCTCAAACTGCCTCACCTCCTTGGAGAAATCTGAGTCCCAAAACTCTCTGTTCTCAAGGAGAAACACATATGGCCATACTTATCAGAGCATGAAGCTTGGAATACTGAGGGTGAAGCAAGAATTTTTTTTCCAGATATTGGCAGGAACTTGCATTGGACATTTTTCTTCTTATTTCGATGCAAATTTGAAATTACCAGGAGTATAGAGGATAAAATAATGGCACAAATGAAGTTTGCCTAGGCTGAGAAATATGCAGTATGTTCCCTTTGTTTGCCAGGGTTCTAAACAGTGGTGAGTAGGCAGGTTTTTATTTTTTTATTTTATAGATTCAGTATCTGTCATTATTGTGGTTCTATTGTTTAGGAGCTTGAAGGTAAAAACTAAATATTATCTTTTTGTTGTTGTTGTTTCCTCCTTATGAAACAAGTCTAACACTGGGGGACAAGTAGATTTTTTTTTTTTTTAACCTCGAGGAAAATTAAATAAGTCTATGTGTAGCGGGATTTCAGTTGCAGAATGGATCCAATAATACTTATTTTTAGAGTGGAATGGAAGGAAGAGTATCATTATATGATAAGCCTTCAGAATGTTTAATAAACAAAATTATCTACAACCAGATTATACCAGAGTTCAACTTTTGGTTGTAATCTCTACAGGAGGAAGATAAAAAATGTGAAAGGTTAAAAAGCAAAAAGTACAGCTGGTTCTTATTTTGTCAGAATGATGAAATTTTCTTTATCGGGTCATAATTATGAAATTTCACTCTTTAGGACAGATATATTAATAAAACCAAACATATGGCTTGACCTGGCCTGGCCAAACTAGTCCTGAGGCTACACTGGACCTTTCCAGAAGTCTGCGAGGGGTGTTGTGTTTTATTGTGAAACATTCCTCAGGGGGAACAAAGAAGAACTCCATAAAGACATTTAACTATAGACCCTGAGAAATTCAGGCCAAGTCTTTTCCTATAGATCTCTCTCCTGTTTTTCCAAAGTTGAATAATTAAACTGCCCCAAACAATGAAAGAATATTGAAAAAAAAATTCCATCAATCCTTTTATAAAAGTGACCTGACAAAAAACACAGGGAGACACACCCCACAAAGATGCACACCCTCCTGTGGACTTTGGCTGGTTGTTTTATGATGTAAAATATACAAGAAAATTATGAAGAAGGAGGTCATCATTTATAGCCTGTTTTTTTTTTTTTTGAAAGACAAGATTGTGTTGTGCAGCTCTCAGATCTTGAATGATCCAACTCCAAAATTTTAACTGTATTTTACAGATTCTCACCCAATCATTTTCTTATTTCAGTCACAACGATACAGTTTTTCTCTCCCTCTATAATCCTTATAGCAGGCTCCCCACAAAACACCCCTCATTTCACAGTGGGGATGGGAAAACAACTAGGGTAAGACATGATAGCAGACAGGGTGACCAAGCAGAATGGAAGGCATTATGGAAACAGTGGGAAGAGGTGGGAGAAAAGCAGGTACAAGGTCAGGCAAAAAGCCCCCAGATTCTGTTAAAATGGGCAAGTTTAGGCTGGTCTTTCAATAAGGAGAATCATTTGCCAATTAGTCACCTCTGCCTGCTTTCCACTGGGGCCTTGAATTTGTAGGGAAAGCAGGAGTCAAAGTGGGTAAAAGGGTATAAATTCAATTGGAATTGAAAGCTAGCTCTGAAAGAGTCTCCTTTCTTTAACCATGCTCTATTTGCAGTGTGGTTGATGAAGATGATAAAAATAAGTGGTGAGGATAAGAGTATAATTAAATGATGATGTTACATGATGATGATGAATAACAATAGATCTCTCACTGTTATTAATAAATCTATAACAGAGTATCTTGCTGTTCCACTACATTCATTATGATGAATATTTATTTGTTCAAATGTACATTTAATACAAAATTTAAGACAAATTCATGTTGACTAGTTTGCTATCCTTATTTTCATTTTGAATATACATAAATACATATATATACATATATACACAGTTATCCACATATGTGTATGTACATATATATATACTTATGCATGCATGCAGACATGTGTACACACACATACACGTTTTTTATGTCCCTACCGACTAAGTATCTAGAGCTCTTGTAGACACTAAGCACTCAGAAACAAGGAAATAAGGTCCCCATTCTTAGGGAGCTTGCATTTGGAGTCAGAGTGACGATTAACATGTTAAGTAAGGTAATTTTGAGAGTGACAGTGTTCTTAATAGAGTGCCTGGTGTGAGAGGTGCTATTCCAGCATGATTCTCAGGGATAGGCCATCTCTAAGGAGGTGTCCTTTGAACATAATGGGCCTTCAGACAGAGGAAGTGGTCCTCAAGGCCCCGAGGCAGGAACAAGCTTAGCATGTTTGAGAGACAGAAAGATGGCTTCCCGAAGGTGGGACAGAGTGAGCCAAAAGGGTTATTAAATGAGGTGGGAAAAGTAGATAAGCCAAAATAGCTCGGCAACAGAAAGACTTTGGATGATAGTCTAAGCAGGGGCTATTGATTTCTGCACACTCTGTTGCATTATTCACTCCTTCCCTAACTGACTTATGATCATTTATTCATCAGATTCGGTTATTCTATATTTTAATGTTATTTTCAAAGCAATCTCTTCTAAAGATCTATTCATTGATTTGGGAGCCTGGTATTATACTGTTCATTCATTGCTTTGCCATGTGTTTTAATAGCTGGTAGGAAAAAACCTCACTTTCTTTCTTTTTTACACTTTTCAACATGAAAGAATCTAATAATCGCTATAGTTCTAAAATGGTATCAATACAACAAATACTGTTCTCATAAGTATTAACTGACTATACTGAAAAAAGATTAAGTATATAAATATAATGTTCTCAATTTGAAATACCACCAAAATAAATAGCAGATGTTTATAGTGAAAGATGCAACTGTGAAGTTTTCAGATTCAAATACTGATTTTTAAAAAATTACATATACGGAATACCTAGAAAATAGGTTTAATTGGAACTTATAGACAATTTTATAATATTCATGAGCAACAATTTTTAAAGACATAGAGGGCTATTTTAATTTGGAGTTTTAACATCATTTCCCTTTAATGCTTTTGATTATAGCATGATCATAAACCAAAGATTCAAATGATTTCAAGGGGTTGTTGATACTATTTAGGCAAAATTTTTCATGCACCAGTACTTTTAATGTTGTGTCCATCAAATTATAACAACAACAGCAACAATGGAACCCATAACTATACACAAGATGTAGCCTGTTTTCATGAATAGCACATTGTATAACAGTACACCAAGTTTATATTCCACCATCAAGTGTGGTGCTCTCATTAGTTCACTTTGTGATAGATCATTAAGAGACTCTTCAAATCCAATAGGTTCATCACAACCACTCAAAATATCCAGTGAGAGATTGAACTGGAAAGAAATGGAAGATGCTGAACCTGCTGTACTGTTGAGAATTCCATGTGTCTTTTAGTGGAGAAAATACACACTGTATGTTTCCCAGTATAGAAAAATTCTTGGTTGAGTTGAATTTTTCCTTTTTTTCTGATTACTAATAATTAATTATAAATATTACTAATTTAAGGGGATGATTGAGTGAAAGTTCATTTTTCTTCACACAAGAACAACT